GGCACTATTAGGAGGTGTGGCTTTGTTTGATGAAGTGTGTCACTGTGGGAGAGGGTTTAGAGGTCTCATATGTGCTCAAGCCACACCCAGTGTTTCAGACCACTTCTGGTTGCCTGTGAGTCAAGATGTAAGAACTCTTAGCTCCTTCTCCAGCACCATGTCTGCATGCATGCTGCCTTGCTTCCTGCCATGACAATAATGAACTAAACCTCTGAACTGTAAACTGCCATCCCAATTAAATGTTTTTCTTTATAGAGTTACCATGGTCTTGGTGTCTCTTCACAGCATTCGAAACCCTAACTAAGATAGAAGTTGGTACCAGGGACGGGAGGATTTTTTTTTTTTTTTTTGGATAGGTCAGATCATGTTTTTGTTTGGAATAATATGAACTTTGGGAGTTTGACTTGGGAAAGCAGTGGAATGCTTTAAGAGCTACTTAATGGGCCAGACCAGTAGGATCATGGAAGACAGTGGTGCTAAGAGTTATTTGAACTATGAGGGCCTAGCTCAAGAGGTTTCAGAGGAGCATAATATTAATATAAGGTCTAGAGATCATTCTTGTGATATTTTGGTGAAGAAACTGGCTGCCTTTTGCCCTTGTCTAAAGAGTCTGCCTGAGACTAAAGTGAAGAGTTTTAGATTAATTACCCTGGCATAGAAAATCTCAAACCAGCCTAGTATAGACTCTGTCATATGGTTTTTAGTTGTAACTCTAATGAAGATGTATAATAAAAAGAAGCAAACTGAGTAGAATAATTTACAAAATATAAAATTTGAGGAGAAAAGGGGCACCAGGAAATGGAATGGAACTAAGTCCTATGTTTAAGAAGATAAACAAATTAAGAAAAGGAATATAGGAAGTAGTGACCTCAGGACAAGATCCCACTCAGCTGAATTTCCAACTTGTGAAAAGGAATGAAAGAAAAGCTTAGAACTGGGTAAAGTGGTGCACACATTTAATCCCAGCACTACAGAGGCAGAGGTAGGTGGATCTCTGAGTTTGAGGCCAGCCTGGTCTACAGAGTGAGTTCCAGAACAGTCAGGCTTAAGGAGTGAAAGTAACCATTGAAACAAAGCTGGTGAAGCATAATTGAAAGATCTCTGAATTCAAGGTCAGCCTGGACTACAGATCCAGTTTCAGTACAGCCAAACTTAGGCAGTGAGGAAATCATCGAAAACAGAAAGTTGGTGAAGATGTAATTGAATGAGAGAGGCATGTCGCAGCCCCAGTAAGCAGCAGAACCTGGAAGCTTTGGCCACATGGCTGTGGAATTAAGAAGAAAGGGGTTATAGAACTTGCCTCCAAGTCTAAGGGAAGACTCTGAGACCAGGCATGATTCAGGGGTGTCCCCGAATGAAGGCCACTGGGTGAAGCTGTGAAGGTGAAGCCTGAATTGCCTTGGAGATTCCAGAATACTGGAGTTGCCAGAGCCATGGGGTACCTGTCGAGAAGAACTGGTAATAGGGAGTGGAACCAGCCCAAGAGAGAAGTGTATTGCAGTCAACAAAGTTAAAAGGAATTAGAGATCTGAAGACTGTTCTTACATCCAACATGGAGCTTCAGAGTTTGGAGTTTGCCCAGTTTGTTTTTGGTCCTGCTTTGGTCCAGTATCCTTTCCACTGTTTTGGACTGGTAATGTAAGTTATATGCCATTACATGTAGGAAGTATGTGATCTTTTTTTATTTTACAGGAGATTACAATTAAGAGATTGCATGAATCTCAGAAGAGACTTTGAACTTTGAACATTTAAACGTTGTTGAGACTGTGATAGACTACAAGGACTTTTGAAGTTGAACTAAGTGCATTTTTGCATTATGATATTGTTACAAGCTTATGGGGGCTAGCGAGTGGAATGAGGTAGTTTGAATATAATAGATCTCCCTAAACTCATAGGGAGGGCATTTATTAGGAGATTTGGCTTTGTTGGAGTAGGTATGGCATTGTTGGAGGATGTGCGTCACTGTGGAGGCGGGATTGGAGGTCGCGTATATATGCTCAAACCATGCCCAGTGTTTCAGACCACTTCCTGTCCCTGCAAGTCAAGATGTAGGACTCTCAGTTGTCATCAGCACCATGCTTGCCTGCATACCACCATGGTCCCTCCATGAAGGTAATGGACTAAGTCTCTGAAGAGCCACCCAATTAAACGTTTTCCTTTATAAAAAAATTGCTGTGGTCATGGTGTCTCTTCACAGCAGTAGAAACACTAACACTGGACATGGGCTTGATTTTGAGGTTTCTCTCTGCCTCTATCTTGTGGATCAGATGTAAACTCTCAGCTACTTCTCCAGTGCCATGACTGCCTGCCTGCCTGCCTGCCTGCCTGCCTGATGCCACTCTTTGAGCCATGATAATCATGGATTAACTCCTGTAACTCTGACCTAGTCCTCAACTAAATACTTAATTTTATAAGTTTCCTTGGTCATGACGTCTCCTTACATCATTAGAACAGTAACTAAGACATCTTCTCTCATGCTCCGTGTCCCCGTAACATCAGTTACTCCCATTCTGAAGTTCTCTGCCCCAGGAGGGTTCAGTGTGTCTGTTCTAAGGTGATGATGCTCAGTCACAGGGGCCTCACCAGCCAGGAAAGGAGCAGCTACTTCTCCTTCCAGAAGGTGGCAACATTGCCTCTCTATTTCATTTTCCTCACCTCAGGACCGCGTGGTCAGGCTGGACCTCAGGGTGGGTTATAAGAAGAGTGGCGGCTCAAGTCTGTAATCCTAGCACCTGGGAGGCTGAGGCAGGGGGATTTATAAAAAGTCCAAGGCCAACTTGGGCTACTACATAGTGAACTCCAGGTTAGTCTGGGCTGAAGAATGAGATGCTGTCTCAAAAAAAAAAAAAATGCTGGTGGTACTCACCTTTAATGCCAGCACTCCAGAAGCAGGGCAATCTCTGAGGTTGAGGCCAGCCTGGTCTACAGAGCAAGTTACAAGACAGTCAGGGTTACAAAGAGAAACCCTGTCTCAAAACACAGACAAGCAAACAAAAGACAAGGGGTACTGGGAAGTGGGGCATGATGTACATACAATAAGCATCTATAACTTTATTTTAAAACAACAACAACAAAATCAAGACAAATCAGTGCTCAGGAAGCCAAGGTAGGTGGAGCTTTATGAGTTCAAGTCCAGTCCGGTCTATATAGCAAGTTCCAGGGACTGTTACAACAAACAAAAAACTCAGAGGCAAAACAAACAAGAAATATACAACAAACAAAATATACACTATTGTTACCGGCTGCCAGGAGTTCCATTTCCTAAATACACCCCAATTTCTTAAATTTTTAGTTATAAGTTGAAATAGTATATGTGGTGTTTGTAATGTGTGCATGTGTACAGCGTTGTGTGATGTACATGTAGTATGTGTGCAGTGTGGGATATGTGTGTGTGGTTATATGTACAGTGTACATGTAAGTGTGTGTGCGCGCACAGTCTTGTGTGTGTTCTGGAGTGCGTTAGAAATCTAAGACAGTTTTCAGGAATCAGTTGTCTCCTTTCATCATGGATTAAATGCAGATCATCATGTTTGGCACAAACAACTTTATCCATCTTGCCACCTCGCTGTCCCTGTGGTGAGGAGTGAATGGAACAAAGACAGGGTCCTCTTGGAGATGGTAGTGCAGCTTTTTTTTTTTGAGACAGGGTTTCTTTATAGCTTTGGAACCTGTCCTGGAACTAGCTCTTGTAGACCAGGCTGGCCTTGAACTCACAGAGATCCGCCTGCCTCTGCTTCCCAAGTGCTGGGATTAAAGGTGTGCGCCACCACCGCTCGGTGATAGTATAGCTTTTGACTCCACCAAATACTCACTAAAGGTGGGAAAGGGTGTCAAGTCCCTGTGAATACCCTCATTTCTGTGAGGGAAGGACCTTCTGAAGGGCCTGGCTCTGCAGCTGGGCTTTGGAATGAGAAGGAGCTAGGACTTTTGTGTTTCTGTGGAAAGATCGGAGCCTGGAGTTGTCCTTTCCTTGAAGAAGTTCTCTAAGTTTCCAGGTCACCACTGCCTTGTAGGTCAAAACAACTTGAGTCTTTGTTGCGCTTCTTGAGCTGGAAAAGACTTTTGTCCAGTCCTGGCAGGGCCTTTAGGTTGCTGTCTTTGTCGTTGCCCTCACTGTATCTGTGAGAAGATGAAAGCTTTAGGCCCCACTCAAAACACAAGTGGTCAGAATATGATATGAATCTGGGTCTTTCTACCTCCAGATTTTCCTTTGCCTGCCACTAACCATACCTGTGGCTATTTTGCCTTTGAGTTTGGAGTTGAACACCATATTATGACATTTTCTCCTCCACTGACTTGTCACAACTCTGCTCTACTTTGCAGACTTGGAGGGGCTCAAAGGAGAGGATTACTTGGATTCCTGCTCCAACCAACACTGCCCTTCTTGGGGAGTCTGTGATGAGATAACCTAAGGTGGTGATTCACTAGATTTTGGAGCTGAGAGAACAGCCAAGATGTTGCTCACCTGCACCTCTCACTAACTGTGTGTGTGTGGGGGCACCTATCATCTAGTTGGTTTATCAGTGAAGTGAAGTTCTATTGTAATGATTTAGATATTTGCTCACTGAGAAGCCCTATGTGAGGTTAACAGGCTACAGCTTCCGATTTAAAGATCTAAGATTCCATAAGGAAATCAGTATCCTACCAGATCAGGACAGAAAGACCAGAAACTTTAAACCCATATCCAGGACCGTCGCCAACCTGGGCCCTCTTGTCTATCCCCAGGCCCTTTGCTCCCCATCACACTGTGAACACTGCAAACCCAGGGCAGAGAGAAGACTCCAGTGTCTTCACTGTAGCATCTGCTTCGGACAAATACTCAGTCTTCTAGCACAGACTGGGCCATGGAGAGTCAATGGAGAAATGAACAAGTTCATGAAGAGATCCCAGGACTGAGAGAAGGTCAGCCCGGTCTCTCTCCCCAGGAACCCCATCTGGGTTCCTTGTGCTCTTTCCTCCCCACCCTTCCCTTTTCACAGTAGTACAGGACACCAGAGGTACCAAAAAGGCAAACTGGACTTTATTATAAAGTTGGCTACAAAGTCACCGCAGCACCACGAGGTGACTACCTGGGCAAGCCCAGGCAGTCGGGCGGCCGGGTGAGTCCTGCACCAGGTACACGCACTCGTGCAAGCACACGTGTGACGGCAGATCTGCCTTCCTCCATCGGAAAGGAATGTAGCGTCTCTTCGCGCCCCCCACCCCAGGCGCGGGGCGCAAAAGTCACAGGAAGGGCCGCCAGGGCGGCAGAGTCCGTCGGAATTGAAATCCCGTTACTGCTTTGTAGAGAATTCTACGTGGGTGTCAAGAGCCCCTCAGGGCACAGGCTAGCCCCTGGTGGGCCATGCCTTTCCCCCACCAAAACCCAGAGGTGGCTTGGCCTCTAGGAGTGGAGAACTGGCCCAGACCCATGGGACAGCGCGGTGGGGAAGTGAGACTCCCCCATTCTCCGCTTGAAATCCATTCAAGGAATCTCACTACGAGTGAATACAGATTGAAATGGAAACTGGGATCGCTCAAAGTTCCTTGATTTTAAAAAGTTGCTCCCTCCCTTGCCCTCCCCCCTCCCCCCTAGTCCTTCAGGGCCTGGAGAATCAGATATATCCCCCTCTGGCCCCCAGAATCCCCCCAACAGTCCCGGGGGGGTGGAGAGCGGCTCCACGTCTTGATGACAATATGCCATACTTGACGACGTTAAGTCACAGACTTATTCAAAACGTTGGTTCCCCTCCACTTCCATCTGGAGAGAGAGAGAGAGAGAGGGCGAGAGAGAGAGGAGAGATTGATTAGTCAAGCCTATTAAGAAAAAGGGTCCTTGAAGGACTCAGGCTGTGTACAATGTTGATATACATTATGGGCTTCAAAGATGTCTGCCAAATGAGGGAATGATCTCCAGAGTCGGCAGATCAGGGGCAATATGGACAGATGGAAGGAAGCTGTGGCTGTAGCTTTAGACAGCACAGGGCCACTGGGCTAGGGGCTCAGCACCATCCTTTCTTTCCCCAAGTTCCATCAACTGTTGCTCTGCATCCCCTTTAGAGGAAGCATTAGCTTTCATCAATTTTTGTATAACTTAAGCAAAGTCTCCTTAACTCTGGGGCCTTGATTATTTTTGTCTAGAAAATAGGGGTGGTGACCAGTCTAGGTCCCTCACAAACTTTCAGGCTTTATGTAAGGATTGTCCATCACTTTATCCCATATCACCTCCTCTGGCCCGCCAGGTCTATCAATCCTTCTTACAGAGATTTGCATTGTCTTTACCCTCACTGCCCACCTTAGTGGTAGATGATATTGTCCACTTAATAAAACCGAGGTTTAGAGAGTGGGAATTGATTCACCTAATCTGCCCAACATCTGACTGGAAGGACAGGGATAGATGCTCTTGGACAATAGGCTGGACTCACCTTCGTGGAAGCTGTCTTGAACTTGGCTCTGGAGTTGATGCAACTCATCAGCAAACCCTTCGTAGGGGAATGTTGAGACACTTGTCTCAAAGGCGGTTTCATAGGTGGCCAAGTCCTCCAGGAAGCTGTGATCTTCTGGGGACAGGTTGTTGCAAGGTGACAGGGCCCCTCCTGGGACCTCTGCCTCAGGATCTCCTGAGCCCCATTCCCCATTGGGGTCTGGAGTAGAGAGATCCATGAAGATGTCTTCCACTGGCGTCTCTTCCAGGAATAAATTGTCAGGGTCAACCAGGAAGTCCAGCTCCTGGCATTTCCAGGGCTTCAGATCCAGGCTAAGCACAGGGGGTCCAGCCCCTGATAGGGACAAGTTGGGATTCAGAGGCTCCAGCCCTCCTAGTGACTCCAGCCCCCCGGTGCCAGCCTCAGCTGAAAAGGGTCTGTCCATGCCCTGAGCCAACTGGCTGATCTGCTGGATGAGACGATCTATCTCATTTTGCTCTTTCTCAGAGTACTGGAAGAAACTTTGCTTGACTGGAGAGGCCTCAGGTGTGAGCAGGCCTTCAGGCACCAGGGGAACATCCACAGAGAGGGGGCCCCGGAGCTGAGCTAGGGCCAGGAGTGTGCAGTCCCCATTACCAGGGCTGCTAGGACTTGGGGGCAACTTCTCATAGAGAAAACTGCATCCCTCCTGGGTGAAGTAAGTCTTGGTAGGATTGGGGCTCAGTTGCTCTGGGAAAGTTTGGCTGGGACTGTTCAGGTGTGCTTGGAATGCGGTGCTGGGAGGAGTCAGCTGCTCATGGGTGGGACTCCCCAGAGGTTCTGGGAATGTGGCAGTGCTGGGAAGCAGCTGGTCTGGGAAGGTAGAAGTGCATGGAGTCAATTGGTCTTCATAGCTTCTGGCTGAGGTTTCGCTCAACTGTCCTTGTAGTGAACTGGTTAGTGGGTCTGGGAAGGTTGCACTGCTGGGTGTCAACTGGTCAGAGAAAGTCACGGTGCTTGGCGTCAGCTGTTCTTGAAGAGAGCTGGATGGAGTGGGCAAGTGAGTCTGGAATGGTTCGTGGAGACTGAAGAGGAAAGCACAGCCTCCTGGCTGATGGGGTGTGTAAGGTGGAGTACACACCAAATCTTTGCTCAGGTCTGCTTGGAGAGAAGGCTCAGGCCTCGAAGGGAATGGCAGGTAATTGAAGTCCAGTTCTTTGGAGGGTTGGGGAAGCTCTTCTGCTGTTGAGATCACACCTAGTTCAGGTGCCCTGGGGAAGGTAGTGCTTCTGGAACGTCCCAGAGCTGGCATAAAGAGTGGGTTAGAACACTGCTCCTGGGAGAAGACATTCTCAGGGAATGAGGGTAGGACGGCTGGGGTTCCTAGGACATACGCAGCCTGGGTGTCTTCAGAGTTTAGCTGCTGGCGGAGGCTCCAGGCTTCCGTGTCACTGGAGGGGAAAGAAGCAGAGGCTTGTAAGGCTTTGCTGTCCATTACCAGAGTCGTTTTCTGAGCTGCATTCTCTCTGTGCTGACCTCAGCTCCTCCTCCTCTCTCCACTGCCCTGTATCTTACAGCTTACCTGATAGGGTAGTTATTGGCAGTAATAGGACCTTCTGGACCTTCTGAGTACAGCATGCAGTAAATCCATGCCCAGCCTCCGTGCTTGGCTTGAAGTCTCACTACCATTTCTGCCTGGATATCTCCATTTTCAGCCACTGAGGAGAAAGAGAGATACAGGGTTAGCAAGCCCATCAAGCAGCACCACCAACACACCCACCTCTCTCACCTCTACACTGGATTGAGGGAAGTTGAATTTTCTCTCTTACTACCCTGACCTGTACCTCTAGGCGGCCCACCTTGACCTTAGCGATGCTTCTTAGCTTTGTCTTATACTGCTTTGACTTCTCACCCCAAAGTTGACTCTCTAGTCTTCAAAACTGTGGGGCTCAGTGTCTCCTCAATGTCAGTGTGGAGCACAGCCCATTCCTGGCCTATCTCCCATGCCTTCTCCCAGCTTCCTGTGTTATCCACAGTCTCTCAGGACACTCACACAGGCGGTAGTGTTGAGAAGAAGCGTGGGCCAGGTCCTCAGGGTGTAGCAGTCCATACCATGACTTACAGAGCAGTTCGCTGCGCTCAAAGCCCAGGTAGATTAGGACACTGGGAAGGTGGAAAGGGTGAGGTCAGCTTTCTGTTTTTCTTACTTGATGCATGCACTTCACTCCCTCCCAGGTTCTCTGCCCACTTAAGCCCCATCCTCCCTGTCCTGAATCTAAGGTCAAGAGTCTAAAGTACCCTTCTTTCTGCCCTGCCTTCTTACTGGAGTTTGAACCTCTAGGCTTACCTTTCAGAGATGTCCAGTAGGGCTAGGTCCTTAGCATGCCGGCTCTGGAACATGGCCAGGAAGAGTGAAGCAGGACCAGGGCCAGGGCCAGGGCCAGGGCCAGGGCGGGGTCTTGGCTCCAGTGGGGCACAGAAAGCTGTGAACACGGGGTTTCCTGCCCAGTAGGCTCCAGGTGGGTGAGCATGGAATCGACCTCGAATAAGCACCAGTTTGTTGCCTGCACTCTGGCGCCGGAGGGACTTGGAGGTGTTGAATCGGCAACGGAAAAGACGATCTAGGTGAGCAAAAAGAAAAACTGACTAAGAGAGTGGGCACCAGAGGAAACGTAGACGGTTGGCACGGGGGAGGGGGACAGAGGAGTGGAATGGAGAACAGAGAAGAAGCCCATACCAGCATCCAGAGCGGAGGGCATGGTGAGCTGCTGGCGAACAGTGAGATGGTCAGCAGGGTCAATGATGTCGTAGATACTGTCACCCTGGGCAACCAGGTCCACCTAGAAGGATGAAAAAAAAGAGGTGATCGTTAGTGAAGGCAGTAAGAGCCAATCTGTGACCAATAGCTTTTCTCAGGGAAGAATACCCCCTCACACCTCCAGGAACTTTCAGTTTCTCAGTAAGGGAGAGTTCATTTTATCCCACATATGCCACAACCCGAGATGCAAAGACTTTCAGTACTCACCATAGAATGGCCCAGATGCTCGCTCACACTTTCAGACAGGTATAGCAATTTTCCCTCAGCTGTGAACACAAGCAGAAATCCAGGTAGTGCTGCCACAATGTCTTCAAGCTCTTGAGCTGAGAGAAGCCCCGTGGGGCCAGCCAGAGGAGTGCCTGTAGGGTGAAAAGATCCGGTGAGTCAGGGTACTCGGGTACAAAACAGAAATGCAGAGGACATCATCTGAGTTGCAGAGAAGACAGGAAATTCTCGCAGGAGACCTAGCTCTGCAAACACCTGTTGACCCTATGCTTGTGGATTTTGGCCAAGAAACCTGTTGCTCAAACTATCTAGCCAGGGAGCCCTCAGACTTCCGAGCCCCGCGGGAACCTCTGCAACACTGAGCGGTCAGCACTGTGGGCAGAGCTCTCCCAAAGGGGTTGGAGTTCAGCACCGCGGACAGCGCCTCTTAGAAAAAGACGGCCGTTTTAAGCACCGCGGACAGCAGTGAATAGGCGGGCTGGTTTCAGGACCTCGGACAGCACCCCAGATAGAGAAAGACCCTCTAAGCATATCCTAGCTCTGGCTGTTCTCCCCAGACTTCGCCTTTGCAGGCTTTCCCTGCCAGGCTTCCTTCCGTCCACTCTCCAGATTCCTGAAGTGCCTCTGAGGCAATGGGAACCTAGACCATTCTATTTTAGCTCTCCATCTCCCACAAATCTGGCTAGAACCATTATCGGTCAGGCTAGTTTAGACAGAGCTCAGGAGAAAAAGTAGTAAGTCTGGAGTCCCCCAAGTCCCTTCTCTCCAGTCTTCCACTACGCTGTCCTAGACAAGAGGCAGTTTCAGCGCGTTCCCTCAGCTCCTCCATCCCTGGTCCCTGTTAGCTATAGTCTCTGGTAGCCCAAGCTTGCTCACCTCCAGCAAAGAAGACACCCTTGCGAGTGTAGATGCAGGCAAGACTCATAATGTGCAGGTAGGATAGCCGGACCTTGTCCGCTTCAGCCAACGGCAGCAGTTCCTTGAGGTTCCGGATCTCGGCGTTGATCTGGTCGCGGCGCGCCTTGGAGGCGCCCTTGGTGGATCGGTACATGACTGCCGGCTGTGGAGCTCCGGCTCCGGCTCCCGAACACCTGCGATCCTGTCCCGATGCACCGGAGGCTTCTTCCTTGCTTCCCGGTCTTTCGCTCAGGCTCTCGCTCGCTCCCGCTCCACTCCTGGGCTCCGCTCGGCAGCGCTGCCCCCCTCGCCTGCCTCGATCTGCCTTATATAGCTCCTGGCAGGCGTGGGGGGCTCGTTTTAGAGACGGGGGGGGGGAGCGGGAGGCGGGAGGCTGGGCTAAAGCAAGCTGCAGCGGGAGCCACTGGCTGGGGAGGGGGGGCGCTCCTCCTCCCTCCCTGGCTTCCTACGTCATCTTGTGACGTCGAACAGGAGAGGGAGGGGGCGGAGGAGGGGGGGGAGAAGAAGGCTGCGGAGGGGGCCGGCTGGCGAGATCTGTGCAGAGCCAGGCAGGGAGTGCAGGGACCCAGAATTCCTATTGTGTTCTATTGGGAGGAGGGATAGTGCCCGGGTTAGGGTGGTCTGAAGACCTTGGCAAGAGAGTTTGTAGAAGGCCAAGGGTGGGCTGATACCAACACTGAGTTTTCTAAGGAGGCAAAGAATAGGTAGGTGAAGGGTCCTCTGAGAATTTGCCCCTATCTGCCAGGCAAAGGTCAAAGTCACATGAGAAACTTTCCTTGGTTTGGGGGAAGGGGTTAGATCACATCTGGGGGTCTTTTCTAGGGTCTATTCAATCTGAAAATCCCTTAGCACTTTCAAATAAATAATCCCCTCCTCCCCTCCAAGCCCTGGCCTGAAGGTCTAAATCTCTAGGATAGAGTGAAATGGTGGTCCTGGGAGGGGGGGGGAGGAGACCAACTGAATTCGGCCTTGATCATATAACCCGGGCAACACAGGAATACAAACATCACCTCTGTGATCTGCAGTGATTCTTCATTCCTTTATCAGTTAACCTTAGCCATTTGTGGGGGGAAACTGAGGCAAGGACCCAGGGCCTGGTGAGGATCTGGGTCTGCATTTGGGCCTCCCCGCACCCTCTCCAGCTTGCCAGTCCCCAAGGCGAGCTGTTCTCCCGCCCTCTTGCCAGCCCCAGTCTCTCCGGCGGGCTGGGGGCGGGGGCGGGGCTGGGGGAATCCCAGCTCCATATTAGGACAGGAATCCTCCGGCGGCTGCGGCTGCGGCGGCGGCGGGCGGGGCCTAGCGGCCTCCGCACTGCTCGGGAGAGCTCCCCCCACCGCTTCAGCGGGGAAGAGGGGGAGGCAGCCAAGAAACCAGGGTCTGCTGGGCCTTCCGTGACTACTGCACCTACCCAAGACCCTTATTTTCTGCCAGGCTCCCCTTCCCATCTCCCTCCGGTTCTTGCTCCATTTTTAGCGCCAAGGCTCCTCATTCTTTCCACTTTTTGCTGTGTGTGTGTTTCCTTTTTTTTTTTTCCTTCCTCCATTGAATGTTGGGCAGTCTGTCTTGCTTCTGTGGACTCCCCAAGCTCCTGAAAAATTGCACCTTTGGCTAAATTATCTGTCTTTGTCCAGTTTATCTCCATAGGGTGCCCTTCCTAGTCACTATATGCAATTGCTCTCTACAGAGGGAATGGGTGCCCTTTTTTATCCCACAACCTCATGAAGGAGAAAGCAATAGTCTATGGAAACTTTTTGCCTGAAATCTCATTTAGAGTAAGCACATGTAAAAACACTTTTAGGGCCGGAAAAAAGAAGACCAATTTAAAAATTTGGGGGAGAGGGACAGTCCTGGCTGTAGAAAGCCACAGAGGTAAAGATGAATTTTGACACCAGAGAGAAAATTCTGTGGTCAAGAAAACCCCCATTCCTCTTGGAAAGGGGTGATAGCAAGACAAGCAATGTGGAGTGAGGGGAAGGAGTGTTGGAAGAGGATACCTGCAGGAATGGGGCTACGGTTTAGTGGTAGAGCACACTTCTAGCATGCTCAAGGCTTGAGTTCAATCCCCAGTGATGCCAAAGGCAGTGGGGGGAGGGGGAGAAAGAAGAAGTACATGGTTGTAGAGACCATATCCTGATGTTTTGTACCATTTTAGTAGAGACTGAAAACATCTGCTTAAACCATCATGTGTCAAGTGGATTTGCTTGCTTCTCAATACTGAGGATGGGACCAGGGCTTTGTGCATGCTGGACGAGCATTCTAGTACTGAGGCTCATCCCTAGCCTTTCTTCCTCACAGGCAGATGCTTTAAGCCTTGGCTAGGAGACATTCTTGGTATCTAAGTTGTGTCTCTCTCCCGGGTCCAGCGAGTCTCCCTTCCAAGCAGTTCGAGCAGCCCGGCTATGACAGCGCGGGTATGGCGGCTACTGTCCGTGGTGCTGAATATTGTCTTGCCAATCAGATTTGCCATGGTCTGCCTGTTAAATCAAAGCAGAGGTGGGCCTCAGGATAGACTAGGGTGGCAGGACGCAGCTGCCATCTTCTTTCCTGAGAATATATATGGGCTTTTTACACGGATGGGGGTCAAGACTCCTGGGCTCTAGGAAATAGTTAAACTAGGCTTAAGAGAGTTAGGCTCAAGGGAAGAATTCTTGGGTTTTTTTTTTTCAGGAGAATGGACTAGGGATAAGGAACTTTGGAATGGGAGAAGGGTCTAGAAAGGAACGAGGGAGGGGTGGAGGAGGGATCATCCTAGTTTGACTACTCTGATTCAAGTTGAGAAGCTCTGTGTGCCCCCAATGTCTCCTCTCCCTAGGCCAGCTCCCTCTCCTCTTGCCTCCCACCTCCATGAAACTATTTTTAACTGTGCAGAACCAAAAATAGCCTGGCAGCCGCTTCAGGCCGTGGGAGAAGAGCTATTTATATCACCAGTGACGGTTCTGAAATAGCAGGCAGGAGGAGGGGGCGGCTGGCACGCTAGAGAGCTCCTGGCCGCTGCTAAAAATACTGTCAGTGTGAGTCATTCTGGCCTGGCTGAGTCACCCCACTCTCTCCCCCCACCAAGCGGCAGGCAGCAGCAGCAGCAGAACAGAATTGGAAGTCTGAGATGGGGGAGGCATCACAACCTTTGGTTATGGGAAAGTGGGCAAGGAGTGAGTTGGGAAAGGGGCTTTTGGGTCTGTGTGTGTGTGTGTGTGTGTGTGTGTGTGTGTGTGTGTGTGTCTAGAAGAAAAAGGTGGGGGTGTACAAGAGACTCCCAGCCAAACTTACTGGGTGAGCATGCAGCATTTGCAGTTCTGCCCTCCTGCTATAGGATGCTTGAACAATTGAAGGGGAGATGTGTGTGTGTGTGTGCGTGTGTGTGTGTGTGGTGTGTGTCTGTGTGTACTTGACTGAAGTTGTTTTGCATGTTCTGTATCTGCATCCAAGCCTGTCTGTCTGAACACACTTGTCTATCTGCATCGATGTATCTGTGTGCATGTGTTTTGTAGCTGGGGTCTGCATCCTTGCGTGTCTACACATTTACCGGTATCTGCATCTGTATTTTTTTTTAATTTGTCTGTGTTTTTCTAAGTCTCTACCTTCCTGTGTTGCATGCAGTTTTGTATTTTGTGTTTACATTTACTTGTTTTACAGTTCTCTCTGTGTGTGTGTCCATATCTGAGCTGGCCTTGGGCCTTTTCTCACAGCACTGGATGGTTGCATAGACTGCATGCTTCCTGAGAACCAGTGCACCTTCCCCTGCCCACTCTGACACCATTTGTTGTTTTGCATCATCTGTCCTTTGCTCATCTCTCACCACCAAGCATCTCTCTAACTCTCAGCCTCTAATCATTTGCAAAGGCCTCTCTGCTGCATGCAGTCTCTGCAGTGGAGAAAAACAACTTCATAGGAACACTACCTTTCCTCTGGAACCATCCTGAATCTTCTCTGGCCTGCAGGAGTAAGTGGTTTTTCATCACTCCATATTTGGGGAGCTGAGAGAAGGGCTTTCTTTAGTTCTAAAAAAATTGCTGGTGTGGGCACAGGCATGTGTAGCACGCACATACACACAGAGACACACACACAACTGAGAGAATGAGAGAGAAAAAAATATCAAGGTCCCTTCTTTACTGAGCAGAGCTCGCATCTGTTGCCATGGAAACCCACCCACTCCTTCCCCGAAAAATCACCAAGAAGAGGTGATGGCATCGAGAAGGGATTGGCTGATTCCTTTCTTTATTTTTTCCGAAAAAGGCCTTTTTATAGCAAGAACAGGCCATGAGATTCCTTGCCCCTGTCTTGCACAGCTTTACTGGGACTCTAGAGGGACATCACCCCTCAACCCCTATTAGAGAATAAGTGATGTATCTTTCTCAGAGATTTTCCAGGAGGAAGATCTCCTGAGAAGTTGGAAGGTGGGTGGAGGATTTGGTTCTTCAGAATATCATGGAGACTCCTGTCTGCTTTTTCTCAAAAATTGGAGCGAGGATGTTGACAGAGGACTATCAGTGTGCATGTGGTGTTTGTCTGCACCCTATGAAGAAGGAAAGGGGAGATGAAGGGAAGGAGAAGGAGGGGAAGGGGAAGAGAGAGAACGAAAAAATGTATGAATCACTTGCTAGGCTTCAGAGATGAAAAGGTGCTGAGAGATGTGGCATTCAGAGATCATCTGAGCAGACAGGAGAACAAGACGACAGTTTAAATTGTATGATGCAATGAATGGGGACGCAAGTTCCCTTCATGAAAGCTCCAGGGAATCTAGGTCTAGGGCTGGCCAGGAGAACATAGAAGCTTACTGCTCCTGACTGTAGTGCCAGCCTGGCTTTCAACGGCCTGCTGCAAAGCCTGGCCACCAGCCACTGCAGCCAAGTTGCTCTCTCAAGTGAACTCCAGCACCCTGCCAAATGTCTGGATGGTAGAGAGGAAGAGAGATTCCTTATTTCCTCCTTGACTTGGCTTGCTCAAGAAATGGGGTAACCAAGGACTGTAAAGCAGACCAAGAATCTGACTCTATTGAAAGATGCATCTCCATCCTAGAAGGTTATCACCACCATGTATGGTAGACTTAACACCACTCAAGTTATAGAGTAAGGGAATGGAGGGGCTTGCTCTGTTTTCTTAGACACTTTCTTTTTAATTTATTTATTATTCATTTACTTATTGTTATTTCTTATTTCATTTATTTATCTATCATGGCAGGGACACACATGTGCCATGGTGTGCATGGGTGCATGTAGGAGTCAGTTCTTTCACTTCGTCACATGGGTCCTGGGCGGGGATCAAACCCAGGTCCTCAAGCTTGCCAGCAAGGGCCTTAACTTTCCTAGCCATTCTATCCACCTCCCCTTAGACACTTTTCCAGGACTAATATGATTAGCATTATTATGTTCATTATATAGTTGGTGAAATGAAGACCAGAAATGGATAATGACAAAGTCACACAGCAAGGTGCAGGCAATGCTGTGCTTTAACCTACCCTCCCCCATATCGAACAAAAGTGGGGCCTACAGATTATGGCCCCAAATAAAGTCTGGTCCATTGCTTATTTTTACAAATGAAATGTTACGGGGACAGATCCAAATCCATTAGTTTACTTATGAATGATGCCCATCTTCACACAGCAACAGAATTATGTAAATGTGGAAGGGACCAGACACCGCCAAGCCAAAAGGTCTACTACCTGACTCTTGACAGAAAAGACTTGCCATCCTTAGAGCAGAGAGCAAGGAAACAACTCTGCCCCAGCCCTCCCCCATCACTGTCTCTCTCTGTAAAGATCTCTGATCTCAGATCAAACCAAGCTGTCACTTAATCTCTCTTTCTTTACCGTCTAAGTAAGAAGACCTTGGGAAGTCCTTACTAATGTCTAGAAACCATGAATGCCTGGTCTCTCCCATACAGAATTCTGCATACCCCATTGACAGTATGAATTCCAGTTGGCAGTGAAGAGGTAGCTTACCCCGTCCATCCCTAGTCTCTTTGGGACTGCATTTGAGAAGATTAGTTGTTTCATATTGGAGGTTAAGTTGTCATCAGGAAGGCCAATTTTTCTTATAAGGAAAGATGAGCATACTGTGAGATATCAGGCTTTCTGCTGTCTCCAATCTGACTCAATGGCATAACACACACCTTCCCAGAGAGGGCGATCAACTTGCTCAGGGTCACACAGCCAGAATGAAATGAACTCAAAACTAAAATCCATGTTTCTTGGTTTCCACATTCTTTCTGTTTTCTTTTTAAAATCTAGGCTTTCTTATTATAATGTTCTTTGGAATTGGTGGACTTGCAATCCCATAAATGTTTTCCAGAAGGTTCTCTGGCAGTGCCCAATCCTGTGGTCATGGCATGCTATGGGATGGAACGCTAGCCCTCAAGTAATGCTGGCTTGTGAAGCATCGAGCTGACTGCAGCTACACCCCTTTGGGCTGTTTTCCTTCTCCTCCAGCCTTTTCATTGTGAGATCACCCCCTCAATCCTACTTGCTCATAGAAGCACTTAGAACGTTTTATCTATTTATGGTTATGAAATCAACAAATCTCATGTGAAGAGGGTACATGCTGGTACCCACGCATGGAAACGGTCAGAACCAGGGAAGTGGGTTGGGCAGAGGTGAGGGATAAGGAGGGATAGAGTGGGTATGAGTGGGGAGACTAGAGCCTGGATGGAAAAATGTAAGGTGTCTGGGCAAGGCTTGTGGACAGGACTGATGGATGGGACCTGCTCCAAGGAGGGGAGAAAAATTAATTCATAGAACACACTTTAAAAATTCAGACTAGGCACCCCACTGCCTCAGGGGCCTCACATACTGTCTGTGATCTTCCTCAGCAGGCAAACTCTTCCCTGCCCCGATGATCTTCTGGTGATGACTACCGCACCCCTGCTGTCCTCACAGCCCCACCTGTACCTCTTCCTTACTGCCCTTTCAAATAATTTGAGACAAGGTCTCATGTGTTCTAGCCTAACCTCAAACTCATTATATAGCAGAGGATGACCTTGAACTTCTGCTCCTCCTGCCTCTACCTCCCAATGCTAGAATTACAGGTGTGCACCTGTTTTGTTGCTGCATTTATCACTCTTAATTATCATGCTTGTTCCTTATCTATACCCCATCCCCTGCCACCATGTTGCCAGCATTCACCATGGGACTGGGCAGGAATCAGGGACAAAGTGGGTGGACGTGATGCTCACTACATGGCCGGCCTCTGTGGTGGATGCTGGAAGTGGGGGAGACATGAGCCTGACTTTAACATCATGGAGCCTCCACGCTGATAAGAAGATAATGCTAGCAAGCCATATGAATGAGAGACTGTCATGGAAGAAGCATCCGGGGTACTTGGGCTGAAACATAAGGGACAACCAAGCATAGGGAGTTGGCAGTGGGCTCCCTAGGGAGGTGTGTTTGAGCTGTTGTTGGGAGTCAAGGGGCCAACTGAGTGGTTGTGCTGGGTGGGTGGAGCAGGGCGGAATGAACTGGAACATGGTCCTGGGGCTTTATAAGGTGTGGTGTGGGTCCTAGTGGTAGAAGCTAACAAGTGCATTAATTAGGTGGACACAAGGTAGTGCTGAAGGGGAAGCTGCCTCCCCACTTTAACCCACAGATATGGCTGCAGGAGCTGTGCTGGGAATGGGCCTGAGATGAGGTGACCAAGACACAGCCTTTAGCCACCAGGGCTGTCAGAAAGTGTGAGGAGCAACCCAGACCTCCTCCCAGGCTGTGCTCTGGTGACCGAGCCTCCGTCCTCCACTTCCCTCTTTTCTAGCTATGGGCATCTTCTGGCATCCTGTTCTCTGCCGCCCGTGTGCACACACAAGCCCCTTGCCTCTCTCTACACCTGTTTCTCATTATCCTCATTATCTTGACTCAGATATCACCGCAGAAAGTCTTCCCGATCAGGTCAGATCTCCAGCTCTAGGTTCCCTGATACCTGTGCTTCTGTCACCAGTCATGACAGAGCAATTTTGACTTTGTTCCATTGATGAGTTGGTCACTGTCTTCCTGGCCTCTACTGGAGCCCCCTGGGTAGGAGTGGTTTGCTTTCTCTGCCATCAGCTTGGAGCAAAGTACCCCCGTATATTTGTAAAAAATGAACAAACAAACAGAAAAAAAAAACCTAGGGGCTGGAGAGATGGCTCAGCAGTTAGAAGCACTGACTACTCTTTCAGAGGACTCAGGTTCAATTCCCAGCACCCACACCCACACCCACATGGCAGCTCACAACTGTCTGAAACTCCAGTTCCAGGGGACCTGACACTCTCATATAGACACACATGCAGGCAAAACACCAATTCACATAAAAATAAATGAATTATTTTTAAAATTCTATAAGACAGAAAGAATTGAGATACTTTTTTCGGTGACAAGAAGATTGAAAGGGGTTGAGGGGCCAACAAGGAATGGAGCTTGCTGCCAAGGCTAACAACCTGAGCTCAATCCCCAGGACCAGCATGGTGGTAAGAGAGAACTGACTCCCACACACTGTCCTCTGACCTCCACCCACAGACCATGGTGCACGGCCACCCACACAGTGCACACAAAATAAACAAAAATGTGACTGAAAGGATGAAAAAGAGGAGTTTGAACAGACAGAATTTTCATGTAGAGGCTGGAAGACAACCAAGGCAGGAGAGACAAGAGGGTGGGGACTGGAGGGAGGCTCGGACCAAGTCTTGCCTCTACTGTGACAATGGCCAGGCATTACTATGTCATGCATCAGTATTAAACTGAGATGTGAGGACAATAAAACTTGTATTAAGGCCTTGATACAAGAACTAGGTGAGGCAAAGGCAGGCAGATCTCTTTGAGTTTGAAGACAGCCTGGTCTACATCGCAAGTTCCAGGACAGTCAAAGTTACACAGAGAAGCCCTGTCTCAAAACAAAACAAACAAACAAATAGAAAAGAACTAGGTGAACTACCTTGTCAAAGCACTCTGAACAAGGCCAGAGGCATGGAAGGAACGGAGTAGGGGATAGGTGTAGAAGGGGAGTGGCCAATATCTTAAGGAGAATATAATTTTGAATAAGACCATACAGAAGTGGCTCAGTTAGGTTTATGGCCCTGTGTGTTTCCTGCATCCTTGGTTTATGAATACTGGATGGAGGCATCCAGGGTAGGGGCTGAAATATCTCCAAAGAGGGGGATAAAGATATCAGTGGAATCCTGAGGAAACCGAGGGATACAGCAACTGATCCTGAGGGTTTGGATTCAGACCCCTTTCTGTGTATCAGCGGGGCATCCTCACCTCCCTCAAGGGCAGAACGGAGCATCCAGGTCGGTACCAATGTATTCCTCAGGAGTCAACAACTGAAATCCTTGGCCATCTTCTAGAAGACAGCCTGACCATGTTCTTACCCAGTTTAAATTCCAGCTCCTGTTTCCCTTACCCCAAAGCTCGTTGTGACTGGTGTCTCCTCTCTCTCTTCTGCAAAGGTTTGTGGGCATCGCAGACCCCAGCTTTACATTCCTGTGTAACATTACCTGAGTGTCCCCACTGATGTGGAGTTTACAGGTGCATCAAGTGCCCAGACCTTATGTACCTGGTGTGGGGATCAGCTCATTAGAATGCCCAGAGCAGATGCCACATGTAGGCTTATCCTGAGCATGCAGAGGAAGCATTTTCAGAGAGCATCCCCATAGGCCTGGGCCAGGGGCAGAAGGAAAACCCTAGGAGCAACCAACAAGAGACTCTAAGAGCAGAGACCTGGGGACAGCCCCACCCCTGCAAATGCTGCAACCACACTTGGCTGAACCATAGCAAGAAGCAGAAAAGCAGCCTTTCTGGTCTGTTGCTGGAGAAGCTTCTGGAACTAGGGAAGGATGAGCACTGTGTGGGTGAGGAGGGGACACCAGGAAGCTGCGGAGGAAAGGACCATCTGGTGAAGGGGAAAGCTCCTGAATGGCCCAGCCCTGGCTGAGGATTCCTCTGCCAAGGATTCAGAGATCTGAGATGAAGAGGAAGTGAGCTTAGCCTCAGTGCCAGCAGACTGTGTTTGAGGCAGAGGAAGGGCCCCAGGCAGAAGGATCAGGAGACAAGGATTCTAGCCCTAACTGCCACCAGCCCACTGGGGACACCATGCAAGCCCCTTCTCCTCTCTGGGCCTCCCTTTCCCTATTTGAAGTGAAAGGTTACCAGTACACTTAGCCTTAGAGTATTATCCTCTCTATCTGGCCTCCTGAGTGTCTCTGTATCCTAGTCCCACTTGACTCAGCACCTCTCAGGCTTTGGAATTGGAATACTGCACGCTGAAACCCAGTTTCAGGTGGGAATGAGCCCATGTGCCCAGTGCTAGGGTCTGAAAGAGCCTGAAGTCTCCAGGGGACTATGCTTCTCGGATCTGGGTGAGCAGAGTCACCTGAGATCCCTGAACACCAAACCTGTATGGACTTGGGGAAATAAATACTTCCTAAGGCTGTAGCTCAGGGGAAAGCAAATGGTTCACTGCTTTTTCCCTCGTTAGATCCAACCCAACCAGGGCCATTCTTACAGGTCTGTACCTACTTCATTAGGGGACTCACCATTGGAGGAGTCTGATGTGGTCCAAAATGCACAAAACAGGACCCTGCTTATCCCGAGGGTGGTCTGCCCAGCCTGAGCCTGAAGTAACTACTGTCTCTGCTTCCTTAACTTCAGTCTTGTGGAAGGAAAAAGATCCTCTCTGCTTGGTCCCTCAGGCAGCCATAGATGGACCCCACAGTCTAGCCCAAAAACCCACTTTCAGAGACTCTCAGAGGCCCAATGGAAGAGGGCGCTCCTTTGAGGACATCTCTCTTGGGTGACTGAAGGCTGGTGCAGAATGAAGTAACCCAAGAGCCACAGCCAAGTTGGAGACAGTAGATCCTGAAACACATCTTTGGCTCACATAGAGCAGTGACCTTGTGTGTCAATCAAAGGCTGGCCTCTGGAGTCAGGAGCCAATGTTCTGGATTGTAATCTCAGCAACAAATATACTGCTTTGCCTTGTGAACTTGGCAAACGATGTCTCTTTGAAGACTGCCTCAGTTTACCCCTTTGTGCATTGTAGGCTTGGCCCTGGCAATGGGTGCCCCTTGGAAGTACCATTCAAGGTTCCAGGGTTAGGTGCTACACCCAGAACCCCAAATGTTAATCTAGTTCAGATCCACTCTGGCTCCCCAACCCTGGTCCAGAACGTCTGGTTGTCCATCTCAAGATGGCCAATACATCATGGTGTCCTCTGTCAGGTGTCATCAGGACTGGGCAAAGGGTCCAAGGGGCTGGGTCCACATGGTTCTGAGGATTCCTGCCAGTGCCCAGCAGGCCACATTTCCATCCAGAAGCCAAGTGGCATTTGCAGGCAGTTGAGGAGAGGTTTGACTCCAGAATGTTCCAGAGAGCTGGTGGGCTGCAAGAAGTCTTCAATGGAAGCAGACGTTTGTAAGTAGCATCCTGGCCATGGAGTCCATGGGGTCAGAAGCTTGTCCAGAAAGGCCACTGGTCCAGAAAACCCACCTAAGATCTGGATGTTGCTGGGGAAGAAGAGACAGCTGGTACGGAGGTGGGGTTGCCTAGCCCTTGTCTGGGTGCAGAGCAAGGGAGGGAGAGGAACAAAATGTATCAGTAGTCTGCAGGGTTAAGAAATAGGGGGTTCTCCCAGGGCCAGGAAGCCAGGCTCCCTGGTCTCAGGCCTATGTTCCCTAGACACTAGTCATGTGACTGGTCAATCACTACTCTTCCCTGTGCCTCAGTTTGCCTTTCAGTTTAGTGAGAGGTCCGAGTTTTCCTGGGATCCCAATCTACTTTAAGCTGAGGCCCAGGAATAAAAGACCTAAATAGGGGCTGAAAGGAGGCCCGAAGGCCGTGAGGTCCTCACCTGGCATTGTCCCTCTTGTGGCCTTGTCTGTAGGATCTCCAAGCACGGATAGGCCTGGCATCTTGTTTCCTTCCAAGGTTTCTATAAGAGTCTCACCTCTTGGGGGCAAGGGATGAGGGGTTAAGGGCAAGACCTCCTCTCTCCAAGGTTGAAATGTCCCCTCAAAGGTGGAGGGCATTAAGATGAGAATGGGGTGGGGCGATGGCTCCGGGGGTCTTTCAAGGCCGGCCAGAACTCCGCCGCTCAGGGGCGGGGGCAGCTCCTGAGCTCTGGCGAAGCCGCCACTCTGCCAGTTGCCTTAAAAAGGCGCCAGCGCGCGCGCATCAGCAGAAGGGCTGCGGCTCTCTTCCAAAATAGGCAAGAACTGGGAGGCCGCGAGAGATGAGCTGCGAGGAGTGCAGACGTCACGCAGGGCCTCCCTCCTCCCGGCCACCCCCCTCCGTCTGCATCACGTTGCCATGGCAACGGAGTGCCGCGGTAACAGATGAATGAGCTTCAACAAGCAGAAGAGTCCACAGAGACGCACACTCCCTCCGCGTATCAGCTAACAGGGATGCAGAAGGAAGGGATGCAGGCACAACCAGAAGGAAAGCGTGCCAGGGCCCACTCATTCCCCAGTGATCCTACTGTGTTCCAGAGGCCCAGGGGCTATTATGCCTAAGCATCTCTGACCTTATGGTTCAGGGCTCCTCTGTTCCCAGGGTTCCCCTTTCCCTCGTTCAATTAATTCTCAGATTCCCGAACTCTGCGGAAAACCTGACAGCTTGTGCCTTAGCGCCACTGCATGGCTGTTCATGAAGCTGCGGCAAGTGTTTGTGGCTGGAGTTTCTTCCGTCTATGTCGCCCTCTAGCGTTGGCTCGAGAGAAAACCTAGGCTACTGGACAATTCAATGAAGGACGCTGTGAGGGGATTCATAGGTAAGGTCAGACAACACGATGGTAAGCACCCTTCCATACTTCTTCATTTCACTCTCAAATCATCTCTCTACTGCAAATTACTATTGCTGTTACCATTTTACAGGGGACAAAAATCGAGGCTGAGAGAATCTTTGAGAACTTTGCCCAAGAATCTACAGCATCAAAGGATGGTGTCCCCAGAACTCACACAACATAAAAAAGTTCCTGTGACCCTCTTACTTTCACATGGACGGCTCTTGAACAGCCTCAAATGTTCTTGGGAAAAGCAAGATGGGACTCTTTAAAATCATTCTCGTTTGACAGATAAGATTGACTGGGAGAAGTGAAATGGTTTGCTGGAGAGGAGGGAGCCTGGATCTCTAGACTGTTGATCTCAGAATTTGGGGAATAAGAAAACTGGATGAAGTCCACCACTCCTGTGGGACCTTACCCCTTAGGAGAGAGAATGAGGAGTTCTGTAGAACCCCTTATTCATAAAAACATGGCCCTGGTCAGAAGAGGGACGGAGAGCTCTAGCTCCGCGCTCCACATGACATATTCCCATGCTGTTGTGTTGCAGTTTTACCTGTCTGCTTCTCCCGAACCCTCTACAGGGCCCCTCCTTCCACCCGATGTTTTGAACAGACATGCCCACTTACCAGTGGGTAACTACTCCACGGTCCACCACTTCTTTGCTATTCGGGCAGAGACACTGACTCTATGCAAGTCTTTGGCCGTCAGCAGCTTGTCCTCACTAGCTCATATTTGTATTGGGGCATCTGGATGTCGGCAGCTTGTCCTTACTAGCTTGTATTGGGGCATCATGGTATATAGTCACAATTATTCAATTTGTAAACTTTGGCCATGTGCTTTGAGTATTTATTATCTAGTTAAGTTTTAAAGTGGGATTTCATAGAAAGTCAAAACTCGTGCTTGCCTTGGTGCATTTCCCCCCATTTTTTTTTGTTTGTTTGTGACAGGGTTTCTCTACATAGCCTTGGCTGTTCTGGAACTCTTTATGTAGATCAAACTTGTCACGAACTCACAGAGATTCATCTGCGTCTGCCTCCTGCATGCTGGGATTAAAGATGTGTGCCACCATGCCTAGCTTCCCCATTATTTTAAAAAAAATATTTTAATTTTAAAAGATGTATTTATTTTTATTTTATATGTATGAGTGTTTGCCTGTATGTATGTGCACTATGTATATGCAGTACACATGGAGACCAGAAGAGGGCATCAGAGAGAACTAAAGTTACAGAAAGTTGAGAGTAGTCATGGGGAACTGGGAGCAGAACCCAGGTCCTCTGCAAGAGCTGCAGGCACCCTTAACCACTGGGTCATCCTTCCAGCCCTTCCCACCTTATTTTTTTTAACTCATGCATTTAGGGATGGCCACATTCTGACTCAAACTATTGAAGAGAATCCGAGGGGCTGGTTGCATCACTAACTGAACTCACGAGGCAGACCCTGTACTTCCAAGTTCTATCAGAAGCCATCTTACCTTATTAAGGGAACACACCAATGTAGTGAACTCTTTTCTTTTTTTAAGCCTTGATGCCTCTGCTTTGTTTCCTTTTTCTTCTTTAAGAGGACATTCCACCAATTCTGGAAGGCTGTGAAAATCCATTCAGAAGTGACTTTATCAAGACATCCCCAGGTGTGTCACCAGGTGGGCTCTCTTGAATGCTTTCCTACCATTTCCCTTGACCCATTTCCCTCCATCTGAAGGCATCTTCTGGCTCCAAATACAGCTTCTCTTGTAAGGGTTGTGTTTACAGTTGTTCTTATGGCTCTTCCCTGCCTGCTGGTAGAGTGTCTTCTGGGACATCTACTGGCTTTGAAAAAGCTACAAGGACATTGCAGTTTAGCATCAGTTGGTAAGCATCACCCTTGAATTTTAATGGTCAAGTGTAATTTTCCACCAGCATCCCATCTCTTCTGCTGAGGCTCCCAGTTTGCCCCATGCCCAGGTTTTCAGTGTGGCCTACCAGTAGCAACTTCTGTCGTTGCTCTGATGAAGTACAAGATAGAGACTGCTTCAAAGAGGAAGTATTTACTCTGGTCCATGTCTCAGGGGTTACAGTCTGTCCTATTTAACTTTATCAAATTGAAACAGCCTAGAGTCATCTGAGAAGAGAACCACAATTGATTGGCCTGTGGGCATGTCTGTGGGGGGGTTGTCTAGATCTGATTGGCCTGTAGGCATGTCTGTGTATGTGTGTGGGAGTGGCTAAATCTGATTGGCCTGTGGACATGTCTGTGTGCATGGCGGGGTTGTCTAGATATGATTGGCCTGTGGGAGTGTCTGTGGGGGATTGTCTAGATTGTTGATTGATGGGGGCAGCCCACTATGAACTGCACTGTCTCTAGGCAGGTGGTTCTGGGTTGTATAACATGCGCCCTGGAGTGAGCCAGCAAGCAGTGTCCCTCCAAGGCTTCTGCAGTAAGTTCCCACCTTGAGTTCCTGCCCTGACTCCTCAACAATGGACTGTGAGTGGGGTAGTATAGGCTGAAATAAACCCACTCTTCCCCTAGATTTCTTTTGGTCAGAGTATTTTTGTCACAACAGAAAGGAAACCAGAACACCAATTCAAGGCAGGGAAGGAATGAGGGTGGGGTCAGCTCATTGCTTTGGTTACAGTGTGTCATCTCAGGAACCCTAGAGTTTGGAACCAGTGTCACACTGCAACCCAAAGGCCCATAGCATGGGCTTCTTCCAGGTAGACTCCTCCTCCTAAAGGTACCACAGTCTCCCAGAACAGCCATGAGCTGGAGATCAAATGTTCAAATACTTGAGCCCAAGATGACGGAGGGGCATCGTGCATTCAACCCATATCACAAGGGTATGGGATTGCTTAGTTCTAGTTTCTACCAGCAGGACCTGGGCTAAGCATTGTCAATGTGAGCCACGTCCAGCAAATTCTTACAGTCCAACCCTTATGAGCCAACACGTTGTAGACTACTGATGAGAGACGATTTTTCCATATTATATCTACAGTTAGCGAGTCACCTTTGTGGCACTGAGACGTTCAGATATGTTAGTTATTGGGGTTTGTATCAGGTAGCTATGGCTTTTTAACAGATACCCTTCCCCCAATACTATAGCTTAAAAGTCTATCCATTTTCAGTGCACATAAGCCTGTAAATCAGCTAGGATGTTCGTAGGGTCTCTCAGATGTATGGAGATCCGCTGCTGCAGGCTCTCCTGGCAGTCTAGGATAAGACGGTTGGATTTTCCTCTACATTGTTTCTTTCTCTGGTGGTCTCGCCAGAGCTTGTCCCCGTGAAACAAGGGACAAGTAGCTACAACCCTTGTGAAGCCAGTTCATAAGACCCACACAGTACTGCTTCTCTCACACCCTGCTGACTTGGCACATGGCTGGTGTAGCCCAGAGCCGGCTCAGAAGACAGTACACAGACGAAGCACATAGCATGGATTTCATTAATCCGCCGCGGACTGATGGCTTCCCCAGCTGGCCGATTTTGTTGACCGTGAAGGATCCCTGCTTAGACTTTGACTTGTGGTGGGGTTGTTATTCTGTCTCGTGTGTGATGCTAATATTTTATGCCAATAGTTTAAATACAGTTTTGCAGCTGTTTATTTGTTTGTCTGTTTAGTCGGTGTCTGAGAGCACCTGCTGCAGTGCTCTTGTGGAGGTTAGAGGACAACTTGAGCGACTTGAGGGATTGGTTCTTTCCTTCCACTATATGGACTCCAGGGATCAGATTCATGATCAGGCTAGTCAGTAAGCAACTGAACCCCCCCCCACGTTTACGTGTGTGTGTGTGTGTGTGTGTGTGTGTGTGTGAGAGAGAGAGAGAGAGAGAGAGAGAGAGAGAGAGAGAAGGCCTTTCTATGTAGCCCTGGCTGTCCTACAACACACCATGTAAACCAGACTGGCCTTAAACTCACAGAGATCCTCATGTCTCTGCCTCCCAAGTGCTGAGATTAAAGGCACGTACCACCATGGTCCACTTTAAACCTATAGAAATATTTTGAATGGGTTCTGAATTCTGATTAGGCTTCACTAGTGCCATCCACAGTAGAGAAAAATGAACCCACAGAATGTAATCCTCAGCAGCTATACCTCACTACAAGCAGTTTGGCAATATCCATGTGTCATGCCTTTAGCTGCAAGTATCAGAGAACTATCCCAAAGTGACTTTTACAACATTGAATGAAGGAAAGGTGGTTACTTGTTTTAAGCAGATCTGTGTATGTATGTTCAGGTGCAACCCTCTGTGCACATGGGAAAGTCAGAGGTTGGCATCTGTGTCTTTCTCTGTCACTTGTTCCTTGTGTTGTGTGGGCAGGGAAAGGTAAAGTGGTTTGACCTGCACACACGTCTCTGTACTATGTGCTTGCCTGATGCCCACAGAGGCGAGAAGAGGTCGTCAGGAC